TAAGCATTAGATAAGGCTAAAGTATGGTATCAGCTAGCAGTGCTTGATATGGAGCCTACTTTTGGCTTGTAGATCTACTCATTTTTTTCGAATAAATTGGCATCAGCNCTTTTCTAATAGAGAAATGGCAATGCGAGTAATAGCGATTCTGCTGACAAAGTATTCTAAAATAGTCAATGTTGTTACTCTAGTTTAACTCTATAATGGTACAGAATCTGCATCGAGCTTGCAAGATGCAACCTCAAGGCTTTCTAATAAGTTGAGATGTAATAATTTGCAATCGACAAGCTGCAATACTAACAGTTCTGCCAATAAAATACTCTTACGTTCATCGGCATTGTAATTTGAGCTCTTGGCAATCATGTAATATATTATCTTTGATATAATCGATTTTATACGTAATCCAATCTATCGAACAATAAAAACATAAATCGCACTTCAGATAAAGGCGAAAGGACTGTATCTGATAGCATTGTCAGATCTAGAACTTTGCATTCAGCTAGAAGAATAGTACTTTAGTACAGTATTATCCAAGAAATGGACATTAACCATTTCTAATCGAAGAAATACAGTGTTAGTACTTGTACATCTAAAATACCCTAAAAGCTAGTTGATATTGCGACTTCAAAGTCATATACCATATCATCATTAATTAATTATATTAAATGAATTACTGCATCATGCTGACATGTTTATATAATATAATCTAATCAATGAGATAATTATAGTTCATATACTTGTATTGTAGATAGGCCAAACTACCATATCCGATTATACTGTTTGCTAGATTTGCAGCGTACACCCAGAGTGGAGTGTAGAATCTGCAATTTTTTTAATATTATCGTTTCTCGACGAGAAATTCTTGATATTAATTTTTAATTTTTATAGGAAATGCCTGAATTGCGGTTGCAGAGACTGGTGACAGAAAGAACTATGAAAAGAAATCGCCTTTAGATTAATACTGTTTGATACTCAATCTGTTAATATCTTCAATGGAGACTTTTCACCATGCGTTCTTTAACTTAACTGATAAGACTTCTATTGTATCTTTCTACCACATAAGCTATCAATCACATTGAAGAAGACTATTTTAATTATGGAAATGCCAATGCATGGGTTTGATTTCCATTGATTAAAAGTTATAAATATCAGCCTATTAGATATACTCAAATATGGAAACAGAAATGGAAATGGAATAGGTAGTATAAAATAGCGCTTAAACTAAATACTGCTTTTCTACTAAGACGATATTAGCGTTCTGTGTTTCATTTTCATGCTTTGAAAACTATCACCTCTAAAAATTGATCGGTATAGGCACTTCGCCACAAAATCGTATTCAGATCAGTAAGTATAATACTACGAGTACACTTATAATTCACATACTGTTACTTTGTATATTAATGACAAAAATTGAACGGCAATCTAAAACTCTTCTGCTGCACATCGGTTAGACAAGCACCAAATATCAAAGCAATAATAATTTCAGGTCAGCTGTTAAACTGCATTTATTTATCCTCACCAAAATGTCTAATAATTGAAATATGATAGATAGCCAATTCTAATTCGTCTATATTTACTGTACTACAGAGTTAATTTATGATCGATCCATTTTGTAAGCAAACCAAAAATGATCCAGTTGCTAAACCATTCTTCTATTGGTGTTGGTTAGCATCTAATTTAAATCATCTTAATTGTTGTCATAATTACTTATTAAATTATTAAATCTATACGATGGCGATTATAGAAATCCTTCAACAATATTGCATTGCGTATTCAGGACAACATCCTTCGGGAGTGCAGCATTCATTATGCAAATTGCGCAGATATACCGAATGTCGAGCAGCATGATAATGATGGAAACGATCCCCTAATTGAAAAGATGAAAAACTTCTTGAATTGTTTGATCATTATTCTTTGGCGTCATTTCGACTTTATCAACTAGCGCTTAGTCAGAATTGTATCATTTCAGTAGTCAAAAGGAGAATTTGAAAAGAAACTTCTATTCTATCTAACTACTTCACAAATATTGCAACTTCGACTTACGACTAAGTTTTGGGTTAGAATTGTATAATTTTAGTAATCAAGAAGAGAATTTGAAGTTATTTTATTAAATGAAACAGTCCTATTCTGGCAAACTACTTTACAAATATTGCGGCTAGTAGTATTAGGTTTCAAATCCTTACTCTTATGCATGTCTATTTCTGAACAACTGATATTTAAAACTTAGAGTAATTAATAATATGATGAAAAATTATAAATTACAAGTATTTATACTTCAAATAGCTCGATTTAATTATGATTCGTAATAATGAATACGAAGCTTTAAAAGATCTGTTTACATTACAGTGCACATATTGCTATTTCCTGAAGATTTATCTAATTGTCTAACGGTCTTCAGTAGTCAGCGATTTAAAGCTTTTAAATTACTTCTATCTTTCAAAGGATAAGATGTAGGATGAAAAACTTACATCGAACACTTCTAGTTGGACAATTATCGATAAGCCAATCGAAAGCTGCTGGAACACATAATTGCTCCTTGGGAATTCCACCAATGCATGCTGATGTGGTAGTAATATTTACCAGAAGAAATACGGTCAAAGATACGGCAAAAAGAGTAAACGCTTTCATCTAAATCAACGTACGGATAAAATAAGAAAGTGAGTCTTTATCATAATCTTTAAATTCAGAGGACTTCTATCCGTTACCTTTCCTTCTAGAATAGATATGTCGTAAAGCAATTAAATTTCCTTCGTAGTATAGCTTGGAACTTCACGTTTTCGTGTAATCGTAGCAATGGAATAAATTTTCATGGAAAAGGAACCCAATTTATAGTGTAGCAACTGTTATTGTTTGTGAGTAAGTTGATGGTAGAATTGTATCTAAAGTTGGTATCCAGATAGGGCAAGATAGCTTATCTGTTGACAATTTCTAGCCGTTCATCGAATAGATTTACTACCGACTGTGCTCATATTACAGAAACTTTCGTCATCCAGTTTTGTTACGCTCTAATTATAGTCATCACTGTTTCTGCCAAATATAAGAATAATCAACTTGTTTTCCTGCCATCTCTATAAACTACGTTGAAATTGTTGCTTTGATAGGGTAAATATTTTCAACTGATGATTGTTATTAACCTTCAGTAAGGATATGGCTCTAACCTCTGAATAAATACAACCCAAATGGAATGAAGAGATTTTCAGATATTTTTTATATTCAAAGAGTCAGTATCCACATGAAGACCCTTTCTACTTTTATCACCACGATTAGCGAGTAAGGAAGTAAATTAGATTATTCATTTTTAACTTTAGAATTTTTTATTATTCTCAAGATGAGTTATAATAGAGCAATCTAAATTAATGTGGGATTCTATGGCGGATTTTTAACTACCGTTCGTCATTAGTTGATGATGGAATGTTTTGTTTATTCTCTGGTTGTTGTTTGCTTATCTTGATCGATTAGATCAATAATAACTTCATGTTGAATTAGTTATTCGTCGGCCGATTAATTACAAGTACTCAAATGTCAAGATTAGTATTGAAAATTTGAAATTATCCAAGCTACAAATATTATCAATCAATAGCATGAGTTAAAATAACAATCTATTGATTTCGAAGAAAATTGTTGACTCTGGATTGTCAAAGTTATTTTCTTGGTATAAAGGAATATAGACATAGCAATAATTCGAATGTTTTCTTCATCATAAAGTCCATACAGTTGTGCTGGATGTGGAACGAAACTGAAAATAATAACACCGAATAATGTTTTCTGGAGAATGTTACCGTGGAGTATGAATATATTTAGAAGGAAAGGATCTTTATGTCATAAACTCCGTGTTAGGCTTAAAATTGTGAAAATTACGACAAGAGGTTGCTATAACTTAGCACGTTGTCTCAACTTACATATGCATGTTGTGTATTAGATTTATTAGCACTTATTGTCGAGTATACAACTGCCAACGCCTCTTCGAAAATTGAGAGTGTCCGTTCCTTCCTACTGAGATTATTCGATGAAGAGTTAATTTAAAACATTACTTGATACATGATATGAAATCGAGTTGCTAAAAAAAAATTGACAGGCTCAAATGTATCCACGTATCAATCTGTTCGATGCGCAAAGACATATCTAATAAAGACTCTAGCATGATAATATTACTCTAATTAATATTCACCGTATCATAAACGTCTAGTTGATTTGGGACACTTAGAAGCTAGAAATCAGTACACTAGTTTTAATAGCAACAAGAGGAAGTAAATTTAATTCAACTTTAACAATGATAGGCTGTGGAGATCTTCAATTCGCCCTGTAGTAGTAAACTATGTTTAACAAAATAATAATCAACTGGTCTTTTATCATATTTATTGATGGGTTGTCATTGAGAGAGTTAATCTTCACCTGATATTTACATTGAAAGGTACATTCCTCTAATCATGATAATAGGGTGATGTTCTACGCCTCGTTACGTGAATACAGAATTTCAACGTTTAGAATCAATTCGTGTAGAGCTGCGATTATTCCTCGGTTAGCAGCATTTTAATATTGCTGCATCAATAATTATTATGCTCAAATGACATTAATAAAATAACAGCGTAATTAAATAGGATTGTTAACTCAAGTAACGTTAATCTCATTAATTAAGCTTCATTTCATTCACATATAAATCATTATGCATTACTTTTACACGATTTATACACTAAATTTTATTTTACCATCAATCATTTTATTAAGTGCTCCAAAAAAATTGATGATGCATTTCACAGCACATCCAAAATTGAGCTGCAACTTGAGGACTGTAGAAAATGTGTATTATATAGTGAAGATAACATTTCAGATTAGAGCGGTACTAGGAATTTGCGCTAACGTATCGCTATGTACATGTACGATGGTTGTATACACAGAGCTAGGGCAAAGAGCTGTTCTAGTATTAGGCCATGATATTATTGAAAAAGTCATAACATAACGTGACCTTAACACTGTTTAAATATTTAAATGCGTATTCTAAGTATAGGGATATCTAAAAGATTTACTATATCTATTCCCTGGCATAGATTTGCATTAATGCTATTTAGAAAGAATAATATGCTTTACAATCGAATAAAATATTCAGAAAATGATCTATAAAACCAATCAAAACATAGCAGTAGGTATTTGCTAATATATATGTACTTCAGAAAAGCAAAGCTGTAGTATTTCAGTAGCTCAATCAATGGAAAGAAATATATAGATTGCAAAATTATTTGGTGAACGTGTCAATAAATTGTACATTATCTTCTTATGGTAAAAGGTAGTAGAACGTTGGTGCGTAAAGAAAATTGTTTATATAATTGTGATAGTAGTATATGAGAATCATATGTAATAGATGCAAAATAATAAAGTGATGTGTTTCTATAACATAATGTATAATTTGAAACATGGAGACTTCTCCACGCGTTGAGTAGGCTCAATTGTGTAAAACAAATGAACCAGATAGAAAGTATCAATATCATTTAGGGCATATGACAATCAAGACATCGCCCTTTAATGGCATAAATTAAAAGAGCTGATATCGGTCAGACGATAAACACACTATAAGAATTTATGACGTCTATTCTATAATCAGGATAGAATCAAAGAATAGAAGACATAATTTGTCGATATTTTCATACATCCGTTTCAAGTTGTAAGGGTGCTATATTAGCAACTTGATAAAAGACCCTAAAAGCAATTAATAAACGAAAAAATTAATTACAACTGATGATATTTAGTATTTATTTCTACTTGAAATATGTATTTAAACGCTATCTATTTCCTTACGTGTGAGAATATTTTGTCTTTACAACTTTGCAATTTTCTGGTGCCGGTTTAGCTATCATAGCGTTTAATTTCTGTACTAATTCATTTAGTTCAGATTCTTCATATCCAGAATAATGAACTAGAGTTTGAGTCTGATAAGATAAAAAATTAATACTATACCAAAATATTCCAACTACTTCCATAATTGCATGATATCATTCTATCATATGCTAGATATGCTGTATATGATGCTAAACATAATATTCCACTTCCAGAATTATTAAGTATTGTAAAGGTATTTTAGTTCATGTTGGCAAATACATACCCATTCACCGCAATTTTTCATTTTCAAAGCGAGACATAGGCATCCAGCTGCCAACATAGATGGTTTAAAAGTTACAAATTGATATTCTTGTAAAGTTAGCTCTAATATATATCGAGCTAACGTTAAATTTTCCATGCTGAGGGATGCTACCTATTGACAGATGGTGATCAAATTCTTAGATCTGGTGCAAACTTTGATATACTGATGAGAATGATGTATGAGTAATAGCGCTGTTACAATGACACAAGAAAGTACAGTGCTTTCACTATATAGAAATTTCTAACCTTTCCGTATCTTCTTAAAAATCTATAAGGTATAGGAATATTTAAATCAAAATCTAAAGCGTAGCAAATATCTCTTTCCATGTCCAAAACAGCCTGTCGACTATAGGCGTCATCGCAAATATATACAAAATCATCCACTAATGGCGGATATCTTTCCTATAATTATTTAGAGTTTATAAGTAATCAATCTTCAGCAAAAAAAATGAAGAAATAATACTGTAATACAATTTGAAAATGACAAGCAAATATATGGTAGAGTAGGCTTACTTCAATTTTAGATGACATCAGCATAGCCGTAGCTCCTATAAGCTGTAGAGCGTCTCTTGAGACGACACGAGCTGATAGAAATCGGTCGACAATTTTAACAGCTAGATATAATGTTTCGTGAAATAACTCGAAATTTTGTTGTACTTCACAAAGCCAGTCAATAAGTATCATTCTCATTTGCTCTGTAATATCATTTTGACGTTCTAAATAATCATTGACGACTAGTTGCGCCTACAAATTTACATAGATCGATTAAAACATTTCTGTACAACAACTGTTACAAATTATTAATTAGATAATTACTAAAGCGTTTTAATATAGAAACTGATCTAATAAAAAGTCTTGCTAGTCATAATAGTAGATTAATTGCTAATGTAGCTACATCATTCGAATTAAAAGTTTATAATCGATAGTGTAAGCGTGTATATTTACTTCTCTTTGTTTCATGTTTTCAAATATTATTGGAGCGTAATCAGCAACACGGAAAGGGTCAGTTAAATCAGCTTCGTCAATGTCCGCGACATCGTTGGGTAATGTCAGTACGCGCTGCACCTCCTGTTAAAATGATAAAGTTTGGCATAATGATCAAAATAATATTTGAAGATGTTTAAATGCGAGTCCAAAAGAAGATAACGTAGATCTTTTATGTTATCAGGAAGCACAAAAATAAGTTTCATTGCTATTGTACAATAATTAATTATTCGCTCAGTTCACTATCAGGTATTACTACGCTTGCTACATTAGTTTCTAAGAAATTAAATTAAAGTACTCGCAAAGTGATGTTGGTAACGAGTGAAACCCTTATATATCATATTATTATGTAGTACTAGTAGATCAGGGTTTACACTGTAATCGAAATGTAAGTTAAATGTAGTTCAAACTAATGCGTCGTAACATTGTAAGTAAAGATATTAGTTATTTTACCTCACTGAGTATCGTTGAAAGGTGTGCTGTTGAAATTTTAGATTCTTCATTTTCATTACAGCTGCTAAAAAAATAAAGTATTCTGATAAGTCATAAAATTTTTATGCAATATTAGGCAAATGTAATTTATCGTGTAAATATACTGCTTTCAGAATAAATTTATATCCTTTCAAATTTGAAATTTTCAGGTTCAAAAACACACATATCATACAAGTTTGTAATACCTTTTACCATCGACGACATCATCTTCATCGCATTTGAGGAATTCATGTATATTAGTTTTAATTCGACCTAAATCACTCTCATGATCTTTAACTTCATTTTGTTGTTGCACTTGCTCGACGTTGTTCTTATTCGTTTGTTGCTTCTTTAGATTATGCCATTTTAATAAGGTGTCTTGGCTAGCCTAGAAAATCAATACATTAATTTAATACTTGCATTTATGAAGCTATAATTTACGGTAGCTTAGTCAACTATTCAATAGGTCAATTCTTTTACACTGTAGTTTCACGCAATGTAATCCAGTAGATCTAGAATTACTTTTTGCGGATATTAAACTTTAAGAGCCTATGTCTGCTGAAAATTCTTTTTAATTTTCTTTAACTGAATTCATATCGTTTTCAACATGGCATTTATTAATTAGAATACGACTTTAAAGCATAAATCGTTTGAATGGGCTGAAGTTATGATAACTTTGTTTGTAATGAATCATCAGCAGCTATTGTTTGGACTGTAGTTTCACAATAATATGCATGGTATATGTATACTTTGAGATACTTGATTAGGCAATAGCAAAGAAGCGAATACGGATTTTCCCACTCCTCGATCACAAGCTGTCAAAAATGTTGTCTTTTCATTATTCTTTGGTAGATAATAAACATCTGTTGTATTGCTAGCACTAGCATTTCATTCTATGCATGTATGACCCGTTGTCAATTTAAATCATGTTACTGAGCCATTATTTTAATTAACATGTAAGTAAATTGATCCATTATTTCTTAGGTAACTCACTGCTAAACTTACACTCTCTACAGTAATGACACCATGCCAGGAAAAATATTTGTTATGTAGAGTCAACAAAGCTGATTTCTTCAACAATAGTAATTATTGCGGAGAATTCGTGTTTGACACGGATTATACAGTCGATAAAATTAGTCATACACAGTATAACTTTACAATCGGAACGCCTTCATAAATTGTTGCAATATGGTGAGGTAAAGTAGTACATTATACAGTATACTGTACTCAAGTGACGGTTTACATCAGTGGATTGTAATTAGTATAGTTCTTGTTGGTATACATGGACAGGATTACGATAGTATATCAACTCGTCACGTATTTTTAATCGACCTATTATCCTCTATTTATTATACTACTTCTCTCCTTATTGAGCATAGTTTACCATTTCGATACCACTCTGATAATTGTAATATCCATTGACACTGTTCTCTTGAATATTACGTTCTAATCTGAAAATACAACTGTTTCGGGATTGAAAGTAGCTTTTGATTTATAATTTATATTTGACGAAAAATGTATTTCTATCTTTAATTCTATCTATTCCATGCAGTATCTACTACAAATTATGACCAATTGAAAAACCAGTTCCTATTGACGATATCGTTCTTGCTAAATGAATTTATCCACTAACAACATTTTATACGCAGTATAATGATTATATATTCTCGTTGTGAATAAACTTGTCATTTTTTTGGTTCAATTGAACCTAAATCAAAGTCTACGTGTCTGGATATGGTTGGTTATACATATTGTAAACATCTTACGGGAAAGATCCTGTCATGAAACGTGTCAAAAATTGGTCCTTTTTCGATTTTGGTCATGTAAGAAAGTTGAGATTGATGGAGGAGGTACCATCCTTTAAAGTACACTACAATTTACGATTCTTTCCTTTGCCATGGTATCGTGTTACAATACATAATGCTTAAAATGTTACATCATGAAACGTCTACGGTCTAGAGGATATCTGGATACATTACGTAATCCACGAGTAATCAATAGAATGAAATGTAGAATCAAGTTGTCGACTGTAAAGTAAGATGGAAAATTTCAAGTTTGTTTTCCATTCTTATCCATTTGTCGTTATTACCCATACACTATGATCTGATTAGCAATATGCATGGAAGAGAAAGAGAGAGATAAAAATTGCAAACATGACGATCAAGGGATTCAATTCTTGATGTACTTACATTCGTTAAATCTTCTAGTACAGCTCTTTTCTTACTGGTTAATGGATAATCATCGGATGATTCTTCGATCGTTCTTTTCTTGGCAGCCGTTACTGAATTGGCTTTGGGATGCTTGACCATAGAGAGGGGGGCGTGTACGGTTGAAAAGAGGAAAAAATACAAGGAGAAAAAAACGTTTGAAAAGTGCAGCAAGAGAAAGAGAGAGTCAGAGAGAGAAAGAGCAAAATGATTCAATGTCATGCAAGATTTGAATCCTCTTGATACAATTATCTTTTATAAACTGTCATGACAAGATTAGTCATGATTTCAATGGACTAGACAGAATGAATCTATTGAAAATTCAAGGCTGAAATGATATTTAGGGATAGGATAGAATGACAGTCATGTTGTTCATTGAAGGTTTGATACTGTGTACACAAAAATGGCAAAACTGACAAAGAGCGAGTTGACATCTACCGGCTACTCCACGACATGAAATTTCAATCTAGGATCGATCGATTTACCTGAAGGCCTTTACTATTGACCATTAAATTCAATTTATCAATCAGTTGAGCCATTTTTCAATGAATTTTACCCTCAGTGAAGGCTGAAAATGAAGAAAATCAACGCTGGTGAAGTTTCTGTCTTGCTTGTAGCAATTTGTATGGGATAAGCTGAAATTGACTTGGCAGGTCAAGAATAACAATGGCAACGTCAAGCAGTTGCCGAGACTGATGTACACAGACGTGGTCAACCGAGTGGGGTGACACGATCAAGCTTCAACCTACTTCACGTCCTCCAGTCGAAACGCTTGTTTGGTAAATCAGCCTGACGTCAGTCAGTGTGTCAAGCGTCGCGATGATGTCGATGTTGTAGAAGGATGCGGTTATTTTCAAAGTTGACGCTTAGGCTGAGTTGGCCAATCAGCGATCATGAAGATGCGATTTAAATCTACCCCAGGCACTAGTTCAAGCCTGGCTACGGGTTGGTTGAGCAGATGTCATGTGACCAACGAAACAGAACAAAGAAAAAGCAAAATTGGAATCACAACTCACCACTTCAGTCGCAAGTAAGTACTGTACGTCCATCGTAACATTGACGTCCTATTCAGTACACACTCAGTGGTGCCGTACTGTACTTGTTAATACAATACAGTGTAAAGTACTGTAAACTGTAGACTATTGTACAATGTCCTGTACTGTACAGTACATCAAGAATGCGGTACAGTACTGTACACTGTACACTGTACTTGAACTCACAACTTCAGTCACAAGTAAGTACGTACAGTACTGTACATTGTACCATTGACGTCCTACTGTATTCAGTACACTCTCAGTGGTGTAGTACTGTACTGTAATGTACTTGCTAAGACAGTACAATGTAAAGTACTGTAAACTGTAGACTTTTGTACACTGTACACTGTACACGGCACATTACGTCTCCACTCCTTAAATTCTTTTGCTGACATGAAAGTTGAAGAATTCCAGCAAAGAATTGAAGAATGAAGAGACATGTTCTTGACAGGGCTAATGCACAGTACTGTAGTGGAGTACAGGCGGTCGGCATCTTGATTGCTATGGTACAGTACTGTACTGTATAGAACATTGCTTACATCCGTGGGAAATACAAGCTGGACCAATCAAAGTATACAGTATACCATACTGCACAAAATCAACTTAGCAGGCTAATTTGGATGTCAATCGCTGACAGTATAGTGTATCGTTACAGACATGCGATACAGTTGAAATGACCAACAAAAGAGCCAGCCTCCACATGATGACTATTGTGAACAACCGTTTGTTGTCTGTCCCGTCTCTTTCTGCCTATGAGAGACTTCAACCACTTAAAAAACACAACAATGAGTGAACACTGACTGAACAGTATTGCCTGTCTGTCTGTTCCAAACACTTGTATTCGTTTTCTAGTCGGCAGTATGGTGATGCTCGATTCCATGTTTGACTTATTTTTTCTAATTGAATAAGTAATATTTCATTGAGCTCTATTCTATTGGACTAAGTTTTTGCTTGAAAGCAGTTATATAACTTCATCAATCATTTCTAAATTAAAATAGTGCATAAGAAAACAGACACAGAAGTTTGGTACTATTGAAATAGTCTCGATATTTTCGGCCTTACGTGGTCTGAAAGTCCGCCCGTCTGAAACTTGCGGCTAGTACCCTTACCCTGGAAAAAGTTCATCGTGTGAACGCACCTTTTTTTAAGGCGTTATTGAGGCCGATCGTCCGCACGTCCGAAGTACCTTGAAAAAGGAAGCATGCGTCATGATGGTATTTAAATTGCGCAGTCGCAAAATTACCTCGCTGCCACAATCTCTTCCTTCTTCTCGAATTGTTGCTGTCAGACTGGGTGAGCATTTTAGATGTGCCGTAAAATTTTTTATTTTTTCTACCTAGAAAATATCTTGATGATAATTCTTTAAGCTTAAATAATTGTATTATCATCCATTATGAACGGATATTGACTGATTTTTACCCGATGGATGTTTAGTGATGCTGTAGCAGTATTTTATTACTGTCACTAGTTGGCGTGGATAGACGCCATGTTGATGACTTGATATCCCTTACTTGTTCTACTGGATAGGCTCAATGTTGTTTAACTTTTGCATTGGCAATGTATAATGTAGTATTTCTTGGATGTATTAATAGGCTTTGGAGTCGTAATATTATCACAATGTCCAACTCAACCAGGTTAGCGCCATACCTTGTCGATATGCTAGTAGAATATACATAATTGATTGCAATACGTAGGAAACTCCTTGTCTTTGTATAGTCCAATGTAATGAAATATTTCACTTCATTATTGGTCGTTAGACTATACACGAAAGGCTTAATACTTGGCTATAAGCGAGGCTTACGCAATCAACATACGAATACATCTCTCATTCGTATCGAAGGTGTAAATAATAAGAACGAAACTGAATTTTACTTGGGCAAGAGAGTCGCATATATTTACCGTGCTCAAAAGAAGACGAAAGCCACTTTACGAAAAACGCGTAATGCTTCCAAATTTAGAGTGATGTGGGGCAAGGTTACAAGATCACACGGTAATAGTGGAGTAGTCCGTGCAAAGTTTAGACACAATCTTCCTCCTAAATCAATGGGTGCAACTGTTCATGTGGTATGTTATTGACAGTTAGAATTAAATAACGATCGTACTTTCCTAGCAATGATTATTGTCATAATAGTCTGAAAGCAAATCAAACACTGATAGATAGCACAGTACTATAATATAAATCTGCCAAGTAATAAAAAAGATATTCCGTCGCAGAAATATTTCATCTGCCAATAGGTAAAGATTAGAAAGATTGGGTACTATTCGCTACTGTAGATACTCTATGTTATGGTTGTTGAAGTACTGCAGTTGCTAGCATGCTGGTGTGAAGGTATTACCAGATTCTGACAAAAAATTTTAGTCATACGCTACAGTATCTGGATAATGTAGTGCCCTTTACTATGACACCATTCTTGCCATTAGTTATTTCCTACAGTATAATACAATGTGTCTTTGATGATCCCGCTAGGTTATCATTAGTTTTACTATAAATCTTTAATCTTCTGTATTTATTTTACAGCATAAAGATCCAGAATTATAGTACTGTACGAATAAACATGCTTGACGTACTTACAATTGACACTGTTGCTATAATTTCGCAATGTACATTACTTTACATTCACAATCAACATATAGTGATTACCCTCATCCGGTGCTTACAAACTTTTAATTATCACTTAACTTGATTCAATCTTGTTATAAGTCTTGTTGTGCTATTATGACATCTTTTAGATGGAAAGTTGTTGTAAATAACTGTATTAATCGATCATCCTTTCTTCTATTTTTGCTAGATGCTCTATCCTTCCAGAGTGTAATCTTAGGAAGTTGTTTGTATACTAAACTGAATAAAATGTAAAGTTCTATGTGTACACTCGGGTTGTGAAAGTTATTGTTTCTGATAATTATAAGTGGTAGCCTAAAATTGTAATGGAGCGTATTCTACCGCAATTAGTGGCATTTAGTGATGACTTGAGGCTGCTGAAGTTCTAATGTTCTTGTCAGCTGTTGATCAAGTAGGCTTTATATTAGTGTAGTCAGAACTATAGTGCTAGCTGAAAGATTATGCTACGGCAGCTAAAAATTTGAAAGCGTTACTTTTGTAACTTGTTCTGCCATTACTCAGTAGGTATGGGAGTAAACTTAAGATGTTACAAATTTATTTATCAAGCACACTCGTGATTTAGTGTCTGCTTTTGTAAGAAGGATTAGTGAATTGCTAATCAGGTTACTACTGTATATACACAATATAACTAGCCTTTCTAATTAAATGCGGTGGATCTTTTTAAACATTATGGGGAAAAAATTGCAGTGGATACTCCCAAAATACAAAAAGTGTATAGTGATAGATATTAGCATCGGGCTATAAGCTTGTAGCTTGGACTATCGACTGATATATTTTACGAATAGCGAGTTGTCAGTTATCAAGTCTTGATTGCTATCATGCGTAAATGATATTTCCTATACTCGTATTTACTCAGATACCTTTCGCATGAAGTGAAATTATGAGCAATAACTTTATCGTCTAAGCTGTTAACTGTAATGCCTACAGCAAGTAAAGCACAATTTACAATTTCTTCTTTTTATTACGAAATGGCGAATCGACAGGCAGTTTATTAGCTAATTATTGCTAGCGAATCAAATAACACTGCTTTGGCAGGCTAGTTACTCTATTATATAAATGTTCATATTAAATCGTATTTAACCAATAGAATAGGCAGGCAAAGCATGGAAATGAAATTGTGATACTTATTAATTATCTACAAAGTTTATGATGATTTGTACAGTAAAATTAATTACACTTACTTTAAGACGGTATGAAAAGCGTAAAATATTGTATATTTAACGTGAAAAATCAACAGTAAATTCTCAATACGATAAAAATGAAATTGTTTACTTAAATTAAAATTCCTTTAAGCAGTATAATGTTAGTAACTTCGACATGCATTCCAATTTTTGGTTTATGATTTCGAGCGATATAAGAGCAATCTTCCGCTGGTAACTAATACATATTAAAATGTCTTGCTGCCAGTGATCGATAACAGTCCGACTGGTAAAAGACTTATTTTCTTTTAATTGGCCGTGTTTTGCCAATTCCTTTAGCTCTTCCTTTTCCTTTTCCTTTTCCTTTGCCTTTGCCTTTACCTTTTTTTCCTTTTCCCTTTCTTTTTTTGCGTTTGCTATGTAATCGCTTTCGAACCATTACTCCTCTCCACCATGCTTGTATCTGTTGTACGCAATTAATTTCATTTATTTACTTAGAAAACAGTGATGCTGCAATTTAACCGTATTTAAACAATACTAATTATAAGGTTTCAATTAATAAGGTAGATGCTTCAAAATCTACTATACTTCATATAGATATAGGGCTGTTAATGCTAAAATTAGTCAAAAAAGTACCTTAATAGCAGCTCTATTTTCTTTCCATTTTTGCTCTTCTAATTTTTTAGCTTTCTCCTTTTCTAATCTATCTTCTATAACAACTTCTTCATATTGTTGATACTGATAAAGAAAGTAAATGTTAAAATAGATTGAAAAATCAAGCATGTTGGATATACGAGTAGTTAGCTTTTACCAGTTGCGTCAATTCTTGTAGTCTTGCTAAGTCATTAGCACGATTCGACTATATAGTGAAAGGAAGAAACAGTTTAATATAAATTAGCAAATTATAGATAATTAAACAAACTATGATTTAGTAGCTAGTTATTTTTCATACTTTCAATGTATCTAAATCACGCTGCTTTGCTTCAACTTCTTTCTCATGCTTTTCCATCCAATATTCGACCTTTTCTTCAAGAATCTGTCGTAATAAAAATAGCAAAAAGGAAATTAATTAGTAATCTAATTAAACAGTCTGATAAGCATAAAATTCTTTTGAGTATTTAGTGATATAGTTAGCATTTGTGAAAATTGGAATTATTGCTATAACAGTCAAGCCTAATGAAATTTAGGCTTTCAGTTTTTACTTAGTGAACTAACCTTATGTTGTTGTCGTAGATAAGTTTCAATTTCATTGTTAGTTCTGTTTTCATCATCAATCTTGCTTTGCAATCCCTACAGTAGTTCACATTTAAGTTAAATTAATTCACAGGATATTTCAACGATGAGAAATGATTAAATAATTGTCATTAAAGGCATAAGTGTAGTTATTACTTGATAATCTTCTTTCAGTTCACTTTCAGATTGCTGACATTTCTTTTGAGTACATAATACTCTTACTTCAGCTTCTTTCTTTATATACTTCCCTTCCATACTCGTCTTTGCCTTCATTTCTTGTAGTTGATCTTTCAAGTGTGCAATCATCTCATTTCGTTGCTATTTATATGCAATAAATGATTAAAGAAATAGTCTAGTTTAAGTCGGCATCAACAAACCTATATCTTATCTAGCATTACTTTTAAATATAAAATGGATACCAATGCTTTAATCATAATTTATTAACCTGAATTTGAACTTCTTTGTCACGTTTGATTTCTTGGAGTTGTTTTTGTAATGTTTTTACTTTCTTGCGAGCAGCCTCTTCCCTGAAAGTCCCCCAAAATGACAATATAAGATACAATGATTCTATGAACTAGATAATGGATAGTAATTGCATACTAAAAATTTACTTTTGTATAATTTGTAATAAGTCACTCTTCTTTTTTTGTTCGGTTTTAACTGATTCCGCCATACAACTAAAGCTTCCGTGTTCGTGAACCTCAGCCATTGCCTCTTCCATTATATCTTGTAGAAACCCTCTAATATGATTGTGTAAAAAGGTACAAGTTCATAGTCAGAAACATACGTATTGGTGGTAAGCATCATTACATATCTTAAAAAGCACTACATGCGTCTAGGTACCTGTCATCTTGCATTTTCAGTAATATATCGGTACCTAGAGGATTAGTTTTCAAACTTCTACCAAGTGCTATATATATTTATATAATTGAATATATGTTAATCAAATTTTATTTAACCTGACCTACAGTAGTTAATCAATACAAATAATAAGTATGCAATGTCGATGATTGTATTTCTAGTGCCATTCTAACCTTGTGTGCTACTTTTAATTGATTTCGTTACATCATAATAATCATCATTATCACCAAGTTTAACTTTACGGTCTCTGCCATCCCCTTTCTCCATAATAAGCTATAAATGATTAGAATACATAATCAATTCGGGTTATGGCAAGTATTACATTATGTAGAGCTCTAGGACACAGTAAAGAATCAATTAAGTTAATTATTGTGAGTGTATACAGACCTTCTCGAATTTCGATTCCAGCTGCCTTTGTCCTTCAACTATCTTACTAATTTCGTCACCAACAACCTTTATGAGAGAAATGATTCGATTTATAACTGCTACTATGATCATTTAATAAAAGTAGAACTATTGAACGAATATAACATAAGCAGAACATTCCGATACTACTATGACTAACTGTAAAGCAATTATGTTAACGCAATATTATTCGTAGAGCTATTTACCTTTTCAACATAATCAGCTTTTGCACTGTGTTCAAGCGAAATTGGTAAAATTGTTCCTAGTACTGCCAACTGATCGATAGAGTCTTGAAACACCGTGTTAATATGTATTCGATCTTGGATATTGATTGCAGGCGGGCCAGGTAAGGCCGAAACATTTTCGTTTGCTTCGTCTATCGATTCAGTCGTTGACATAGCATCGACTGCAGCCATGATTATAATTCGCTGGGGTTACTGAGTAAAATTTAGAGTAATACAGGCGTCTTGTAAAATAATTACAATCGCGTAATAATATATATATTTAAACGATCAAACTCTCGTCTCGCTGAAGAATTGAAAGAATATTTTTTTCCAAGAATTTCGGAAATACGAGTAGATTCTAAACGGATACTACAGTATGACAGCCCTATTCGAGCGTAGTTAATAAACACGTACTATACCTACGAAACAGATTTTATTTCTAATAACTGTACTGTATTGTAGTTATGGTGCGATATACAGTAATTGGCGTATAAAAACTAATGACTGAATATTATTCTGGGCAGTGTCATACTTCTGTATAGCATAAGAAGTTGAGATTGCTGTTGATCAGTTACCATAGTAACGAAGCCTTAAGGAAGCAAAAGTTTTGGTCACGGACTACTGCTAGGACAGCATAGAGTACTAAACAAGTAGTCCATGGTTTCAAATAAGGGCTATTGGTTCAGTCATCTACAGTACTTTACTGCACTGTACTATACTATATTGCTGCTGGCAATTAAGGACTTTTAAGATTAAGTTTTCTTCAAAAACTCCCCTGCTCGCTAGCGATCTGCGCTACCGTTCTGCACCAGTGACCTGCGCAAAACCACACTGCAATTGCATTATTGGCATTCACCGCCAATATGAACTTGTCTGTGACCTGATATGTTAATAGTGTACCGCTCTGTCTACTGCAGTAGCTAGTTAATCAGCCATGATCGAAAATAAAGTAGTTTTGAGCGCTGTTATAGCATCTTTGGTTCGCAATCACTCACTCTCAATTTGTGTTGGTTAAACTGTGCAAATCTTTAACGTGACATTATTAGTGCTACTTAGCCGTTACAGACACATACAGTTGTAACACCGGCAACGCAAAAATAGTGTCATACTTAACTGTGTCCTACGTACTCCATAGTGAGTACAGTACTACAGTACATACTACCTAGACTACTGTGCGGTGCGGCAGTCTGTACCCTTTATTTTACAGTGTCAAGTCGATTTATTACAGTACTGTATACTGTACTGTATTTGGTCTGCGACCAGTCACTACAGTACTGTACTGTGATTTCATTTCATTCAAATTCAGGTCTGAAGGTAAGCAACGACATTATTCCTGATTTAAGGAGCATTAATAAGATTTGTTATCACGAATATGGAAATATTATACCTATAAGCATGTGCCTAAACTGAAATTATTTTACGATAAGATATTACCGTACAGTACATGTATACGCTTGTGTGAGTTATTCGCTTTTACAGTGGATTACTAGCTCTTAAAAAGTTGTAAACATTCTGCCAAGAACTGATTTTTAAGTGTACCAACTTGTAGTTTCATTCGATGCTCTAACTGTTGCAAGGTTGTACGAGTAATGATGCCAAGCAGATAGTATTATTCAAGTACAGTATACTCTGATATATTATAATAGAGTGTGGTGTATATCGATAAGCTATATCGCTAGCATATAGCAAAAAAGATGAGCAAAAATTTTCGTTAAAATGATGATAGGAATTGATTTGCACATGTACGCGTACATTGTACAGTATCTGCAGCATTCATGATGTGTTATAATTGGGTGCAAATCTTCTTCACTAACATCTCTCCATTATTTTTATTGTTTTCTTCAAATCAGCTTATTCATGAAGACCTCTAGCCAATACTGAAGCGCTTTGAAGCGTAATGATGATAACACTAGCCGAATCTATTACTTAAGCGATTAAATTATATTATTGATTTTTTTGTTTTATTGTAAATTGTATAGTGCAGTAGTGATAATTTACAACATGGTAGTTGTCATTGCTGCTACTTTAATGACAGTTGGATACATACTGTAGTATCTAGATTTTGAGTAAGCGTGAGTAGTGATTTTAGGATAAATTGTATAGTTCTTTAATATTTCTTAATAGTCTTCACGCAATACTGTAATGTTACTGTATGTTTTTCTCTTCTGTTTATTGTATAATTTGAGCTATGATGAAGCAATTCTTAATTGACCGAAGTGGTATGCTATACTTTTTATGGTATAGACATATACTGCTAATGAATGGTAATTACACTTGATCTGAGCTCGCTCTATCTAAGATTTGCTGCAACTTTTTAAAATTTCCCAAATTTTGTTTAGTAAGAGCATAGTCATTCTGATGAGTTAGTTGCTCCTTCTAAATAGCACTGTAGGAGCCTTTCCCTAAATAAATTTTAGGATATCTTAATCCCCTATCAATAATTAAGGTCGTATTTTTACGACAAAGGGTGACTGAGGAATGATTGTACTTTAAATTTCGCATAAATTGCATTAAATTTTAAACAACTAGGAAATTATAGTTGATTGTAACATGCTGTATACCTACCAGACACTACATACTACTTGAATACTAAAATCTTCCCAACAGTTTGGTAGATTTATTGGGTTTAATTAATTAAACGTTCACAATCCGAAATGCAATCTATGAATTATTCTCATCAATCTCATGGATTTTAAACGTTAACTATTGGAAATACGATATAGCCTACGTTATAATAGCAGTATCAATTTCAAGATTTTGTCCACTTATTGCATTTTAAGCATTAAGATAGTCGCCAATATCGCTATAAACGTACTAGGCGATAGCTCGGAGTCTCCATGAGCTGCAGCAGGCAGCTCCTTGCTCGGTGCTCCGTTCAGTATAGTGTACTGTATGACTCTACGGTACGTAATTAAGGTTAAGATAGACAATACTATTAAACTTAGGTTACTGTTCAATACAGGACATTATAATCCAGTGTGTCTGTACTAATTGTACAGTGTATGGTGACTGAGTATGCATTACAACCATGCTGTTTAGCTAAGGGGGTACTTGCAGCCAGCTGAATAAGCGAGCGGAAATTGCTGAACAGGAACTGCTCGATCGCATCCATTTGGAAATTCTCGACTATAAAAGTGCAGTTGAGATCTTATTTAGAGTTGCTTTAATCATAATAACTTCATACTTCATTTATAGTCTACATCATGATGAGCTGGAAGACATTTGTACCGCCACAATTACGCAATTCGAGCATTAAATTGGAGGATAAAATTGCATGGATTAAGACGGCACTTTGGCATCCAAATAATTCAACATTATTTATACCGAATAAGTTTCAAGTTGTTTGTGATTGGGTGGTAGATCAGCTGATAACTATTAGCAGAAGGTATTGCAATGCTAGATTCCTATTAAGTTCAAAATGATATTTGTAGGAAATGGTTGAAAAATCTTGAACTGATCAGCGCTTGACTTCTTATCTGCTAGCACAAGGACATTGCGAGTTCATATTTACTATTGCACGCATGTAATCAAGCATTTGAAAACTAGATTTTACCAGACGAGTTTGCTTAATTCATACAGCAGTATCGCAGTACATTATCATTTTCACTAGCTAGATATTATTGTAAATTGGTATTCATTAATTTGTGATTTTAATAGAAATAAGTGTAGTAGATAATTAACATGACGATGTAGCTCTTGACAAGTACTTACGTATGTGACATGATAGTAACTGTAGACCCTATTATAGTCAGTGTGGAATAATGACTTAGAACTCACTAGAAGCTAATAAGGTTATAAATACTAGTTAATGTGATATTGGAGATGATGCATTTGTGATTTGTGTGTGGTAGATACAATTAAATTTCAAACTTAAATATCACAGATCACAAGACAGAGGGGCCGCAACGCAAATGCTATGGGAGTTGTTTGATAGCATCTTGCCAACAATGTCTAATCATGGTACAGTTAAAGCTCTGATTCTCCAGGTTAGTTAGTATTTAGGTAATGTTGCACGCAAGTAATGCGACCAAATTCGTAACTTAGGACTAACTGCAGTATAGTATGGCTAGAATGTGTATTATTGAAATGGAAATATAAGTAAAGTGTCTGCAATGTTGTACAGTGCAATACTCCTAAATACAACATGTGTAATTTGTCAGCAACGCGACACGGTGTAGGACTAGTATGTACTTAATGATGAGTGCGTATCTTCATATCTGAAGGTGTTATTCTATACAACCTCTAAGATTATTTCACTGCTTACTAAGCCTATGGACAAAGCTCAATTTATACTAATTCGGGAACAGCCATTGTAAATCTTCGTAAAATAGTACTGTCGATGATGAGCTTCCAAATCATAGGCCATGCATCTTTTAATTTGCAAACTGCTACTGTAGGCATTAGCTGAAAGAATGTTGCAGGTTATCAAAGCTGATAACCATCAGAACACCGGTTTTCAAGATGAAATAAAAATACTTTTATCTTGCTGTGGGAGCCTTTTCAATAAACAAGCCAATTTGAACATTGATATTGCAAATTTGAATATCGAAGGACTTGTTAGTAATATCATTTGAGTTGATTATATTGCAAAGTAACTTTATACTTAGCCTATACTAATTAGATACTGCTAAAATTGATAGGCGACCTTTCTTGCTTCCTTTATTGCTCTGTGGATTGTATCAACCAAGAATGAAAACTCGTTCAGCGAGACGATACTCAATTTATTACTGTGCATTATTCAATACACTAACCGTATGCTTAGTCAGCAATCGAATCAAAAAAAGGTCCGTAGCTTAGCTAATAGCTCAAATTTTTGTAACTTCCAGCTACTGTTGCAAGCTGTATGACATGTGTGTTCACCGTCTCGCGTAGGTCTTTGTAGTATATTGCGAATTGCTACTGGCAAACAATATTGTCCTTCGATATAGCCTTCGGCAATTACTTACATCTCAGATGCCATATAATACAAAATTGCTAGAAAATGTACTCAATGCAGTAGAAAGACTTCTGGCTGGGATATTATTTCATAGGTAATTCTGAATGAATGAATGGGTATAACTTCTAATATGAATAGTATCAATTTTAAAAAAATAATGTTAATCAATCTGTTAATATTATTTATAGAGATCATCTAACAGATTACCAAATGGGTTTTAGACATCCTGTCTCCAACAGTGGACGTGAATTGAATTTAAGTTACCATGAAATTTTATTTAGAATATTGAATTTAATTAGAAATGAAGATACAGAATTATGCCGAAAGATATCTTTTAATGTAATCATTGCGCAATTTTGCTTTGTTAAAGTCATTACATTTCCTATTCGACATTAAATGTAGCTCTTAATTTAACTTCAACAGCTAGAACTTAATCTTAACCTCAGTAGATCAGCGTTGGTTTCCTTACCTTTTATATATGAACAATATTTGCAATCCAGCAGGTGCATTGTTGATATTTTCCACATTTGCTCCATCAGTCATGTAATTCCTAAGAAGATTCAAATTCTGTCTTAAATTTTATTTAGAGAGATGAAGAAAATTGTTACTTCAGCGGAATTCAACTTCTACGTAGAGTTGGTAAAGTTAATTCAACTAGAGAAAATGTTTGATCAAAATCAAACTATACGTCAAAATACTGCATCTGCATTTAATGCTTTAACTGATATCGTCATAAAGTTTGATATCTATCAGGTATAGTAAATTTATAGAAATAGTACCGATATCTGGAATTATGGAATAAGTTACATCTCATTCTTCAATTGAAAATCTTAGTAAGATAATTTTGCGTTACAGCCCTCTGTTGATAGCGTAGCTGGTAATACTCAGCTTACATGGATGAAAAATAGATGTGAAGATTTAGTAGGAAGGTCTCTATTTTATGATGATAGTCACTGATATTAAATGAGTTTAGTCCTTAGCATGATAATTGGTCCGCTATAATAAGAATTCCTTTTGATAGAATAAATATGGATGTCTTGTCGTGTCTGCGAACCTTTCTTAAGTTAAATTATCGATCTATGGAATCACACTTGGTCCGAATATTGTCTTTTATGTTTACATCTGATGTGAGTGTGCTAGATTTTATGAATCCACAGGTATCTATAATACTTCATTACGATAATCATATAATGTTACCCATGATTTAGGACTCTGTTAATGAAGTAATAGACACCAAAGATGGAATTTTCCTAGTTCAGTTACTATCAACATATTCTAAACTTCACCAGGTGTGGATAAATGAAGTGAATTACCAACTATGATTTTCGATATATCAATATATCAGGCGCAGCATTTCTTAATTATTGGTTTATGAGATTTATGACCGGGATATTACATACTAAAATATATGCATAAGACGATAAATAATGCAATTTGGTTTAATTTTTTTATATTAGGTGGACAAATTATTATCTATTCTATTTACTTGTTTTCGTACAATTCTGGAAAATTCAGACATGGTTACAGTTTTTAATTTACCTGTTAATTTTTTGACAAGGTATACTCGTAGTAGTGGAAATTTTAATAATAGCTCAAGGTATTCTCATGTTTGTAAAATTTACGAATTATGTCGACTAAGCCCGAGTTTAACATATTTCAAAGATTTGAACAATGCATCCGTGAATTAACTCCGACTAGTGCGATCGATGTTGGCAACTTGATTAGTGGCGAAATTTGCGAATATTACTTGTCGAAGTTCGTTGGTTAGTGAGAAATGTTTTATTTTATTTCTTTAAATAACAGATAATAGCTGGGATAACCTTCCTGTGCGAATGTTATAAATTTAGGCGAAAATAGCGAAGAGCGAAAACTCAATGGTGTCTTCTATAGTTGCATGCAACACGCGATAACACTGTTATGCTGCTGCTTACTTAATTCAAAAATTTTAACAACGTCACAAAGCGACTTGCCGCTGTCTGTTAAAAAATCAGTAATCGACTTTCTTCAATCTTGCTGCCATAAAGTTGTAATACCATTACGACAATGTATGGCAGAAACGACTAGAAAGGTGGTTGTTGCAATTTAATGATAGGCATAGCATGGGATGATTTATATTTTCTAATTATTAATTTTTACTTCACTGTTTGTGTTGTATGATAACACAGGACTACGAATTCATTTCCTATGTCCAATTTTCGGCTTTATTGATGTCCTATACGTTGCTGGAAGTTTTCACTGCCTTTCAATGTAATGGTAAAGAAATACCTACAGATATGTATAATGCGATAATTTCTCTGCAGTGGAAGGATAAGAGAATTCAGGTCGTGAATTGGTCACAAAGGCAATGTGATTTGGCATTAGAAAACTTTAAGATTCGATATTTGTTGGTACGTATAATGTTAATCATTCTTAGGTGGTAAATTGTTGCACTGCGGTTGTTATACAGTATCGGCTTCGTAACGACTTATCAATTTATTTACAGACAATTTATGCCGTTCAAAGATCGGTGTATTCGTTATTGATGCCGCAGAATGAAGAACAATCATTTGTCTTTGAAGATTATCTATATTTTATCAATGAATTGCCATTTAATAAAAATGATTTATTGATAAATGATGTCAACTCTGAAGATAATGCGAACTTAGATAGCAGCCCAGTAGCATTGGTAAGACTTAAAGGATAATATCAGTGTACAATTCAATATGTACACTAACAATTGATTATTCTTCATACTAGATGCTTGTAATTAATGAAAAGACTTTCCCTCTTTATTCTTGGAAATTATTGTTGGACAAGTTGCCATTTTACATAGCTTATTTGAATAATAGTCAAATATTAGATATATGCCGATCTCTAATTAAGACGATGTACTCTTGCCCCAACAGTTGTACTACTAAACGGTAATTAATTTTATGTTATAAGTTACTTTCATATCGAAAATCTTAAGCTTATAGCAATTTGGCTCTATGATTTATTCATATAGCAATAGCAGTTATTATTCGATTTCTTGTGGAGCTATTATGCAAGCAACATTGATCGACTTACAACCTTTTCAGTCGTGCTTAATGTCATGTATTTTAGATGAAATGAAACAACTGTTTAATCCTATAAGGTAATAATTTTTTATCATTATAAGGTAATAATTATGAGTTTGTAGTAACCCGATTAATTTTTAATCATTAAGGAATTCTCTTAATCTGCAAAGCGTAGTCTTTGAAGCTCTTGGTAATTTGGCTAGGCCATCATTTGAATGGCAGAGTGCCCTTCACTACCCTAGCTCAGATGGTACTTTTGTTATTATAGAAGTTTTATTATTCATCTTTGTACCCTAGCTCAGATGGTACTTTGTGTTATTACTGAAGTTTTATTATTCATCTTTGTGTGCCTTAACTTTCTCGGTTACTACCTAAAGACAAAGCAAGTAAATCCGTTAACTCTGAAGCCTGGGATATTATAGAACATGCTCAAAGGCTTATAGGTGCTAGTGAAATGAGATGGTGTATCGTTCATAAGCCGCTTCATTCTGAGGAACTTAGCTCGTTGAATGATATGCATAGACTAATCAAGGTTTGTATTTAATACTGAACATATTTATTAAAACAGTGGTACTGCATCAATTTTTATTAACTAACTAGTTGAAATACGATTTAAACAAATTTACTGTGAGTTTGTGTAAAAGAAGCAGTAACCTTTTCAAATTCTTTTGCCTTATAATAATGTTTAGATTTTCTATATGCTTCCTTTGGATTGTTTACTCCCAGTCAATTATACCAGATGTTTTCTATCTCTTATATGTTGGGATTGGATTATTTCAGGCGCCTTGGAAACGGTATATTGTTAATTTTTGTATATAAATTTATCGTTAATATACTTCAATGATACTTTTGTAGTTGTTAGTGATATAACACAATATTCATTGATAACTTCGTCAATGGGTTATTACAGGAAATAGACTGGAGATATCGCCTTCAACTGGAATTGCGACAGATAATGTGGCTTCTCTTGAATCCTCGTGTAACATTGATTAATACCTGTCATCGCTTTCTTAAAAGACTAAATCCTCTCACGGTTCTTGATAATCATTTATTGACCGATCTTTCATCGCTAAATTCGGTAAATAGTTCATATTGGTAAATCTCTATTGAGAAACTAGGATTTATTGATTAATCTTTTGTGATAATCCAATGATAGAAAAATGCTAGCGCTGATCGACGAGTGAGCTCTAAAGAAACAAAAGAATTGCACAAAATCACAACAGATATCGTTAGCTCTGCTTTTCGTAACTGGCTAGGTGGTAAAACATTACTTAAATTTGCCTCTAATTTAATAAAACAGGTATTCTTTGCCTTCTATAGATAAAACTGCGAAAGCAGCAATCGCTAGTTACTGTATTATGCTAGTAGATTCATTCTGAATTAATGTTTCATAGCTGAGGCCACGGATTGATGATTTCGTTCAAGAAATTATGCAGGTTTCTTCAACTTCTGAAATAGAACAGGTTATCTTGGAACACAGTCTCCTTCTGAAATTTATATTTTCGGTGTTGGAACAGGTTAGAGCTAAAAAGCTAAAGTAGTTCAATTAAAGTAGAAAATTTATTATTGACAATTGTGCAATATAATTTGGACTTTAGATTGCGTTAAGCCAGGAAGCTGTAGCAATTTTTAACCAAGAAAGAGATAATTTCATCATATTATTTAAAATTTGTGGTCATATCTTGTACCAGTCTGATGAAGTACCGAAAAGTATGTTGTTAATTTTAATTTTCATACAATCATTATAATTCATTTGAAGAGTACCATGTATGGAATAATTGTACTTATATTTGCTGTAGCCAAACGTTTAAAGTTAAGCAAAGCATCGAAAATAAAGAGTAAAGATGGTAGAATAGTGGAAGCGAAGGGAGATGTTGTTAATATATTTAAGAGTTGTCGAATCTTGATAGATATTTTTCGATTGTTGTTACAGTTAGTTGAACCTAAGTAAGTATAATTTTTGTACTACGGTATAATTCCTCCAATTAGAAGTGCTCAAAATCTTAAATGTGCTATGTTACAGTGTCGAATTCAGTTTCAATCAGGAAATACACGATTTGTATAAAATTGCTTTCCAAGAATTGTCAAATTTTGCGAGTGATTTGGTGCCACTTTTAGAAGATACGGTGTTAATTGTAAGTATTAATGCTTAGTTGGTGTTTTTAAGTGGCGTGTAGGTATGTAATTTACTTTGAAACTTATTTTATTTTTAGAATGACTCAGCGTTATGTACATCTTACGTTATGTATACATCCACGTTCTTGGAGTATCATCATTATGAAACAAACGATGAGGAAACGTCTAATACGGTCAATAATTTCATAACATTATTATTAAAACTGCTGACGCAATCAAATGGCTTAAGAAACAGTTCATCTACTAAAATCGACAACCATCAAATTAATGAAGGTTTCATTGAAAATAATATTTAATGTTTGAAATTTTTGTCTACTCGCCTCGAGTTGTGCGTACTTATCTAGTTTAGGAAGGCAGTATGAGTGAAATTTAGTAAATGCCACATATTTAACTTTTCTCTTAGTCGCTGAATTTCGTAACTGTCTACAACAAGCCATTGTCAAGCTGGTTGTGAAATCATTTTCGAGGGAAAATACATCAACTTTTGATAATTTACTATGTGAAACTAAAACGGTATAGTTAATAATACGAGTATATATAATACATGTTAAGAGAGCTGTTGCTTATGACATACTGTATAGAACGATTTGGGTTTAAATATCGATCCTATATTTTTAGACAGCTTTTGTCGTGATATTATAGCTCATGAGTTGATTTATTGCCAATTGTAGGTCTCAGACAATCTGATTTTGGACTTATCAAATCTGAAAGTGCGCTTGTATGTATGGACAGAATTGATTGCTAAACTAACAATAGAGCGAAAGAAGGCAGAGTATAAAGATGCATTTTCAACAGTGAGTGTAATAGATATTGATCTAGTGAATGGTTTAAATGCAGCTAATAGAGTCGTAATTTCTTTTATCGGTGTGGTATTCCGTTTCAGTTACTATTGACTTTAGTTCGTATGTCATATAACTTGGAAGGCATGTCAAATAAGTTGTTGGATAGTGAGACTTGTCTTCTCATTTTGAAACTGATTAAACAACTATTAACGCAAGGGAAGGTTAGCGAACGTTTTCAGTCTTTATAGTAATCTGTAAGGTATGTTAACTAAAGGCTTCATCAACATTACAAATGATTTTACTCGGTTTACTAGAACTCTTTAACAAGAGATGCAGTGAGGAGTGCCTTTCAAATATGCTCCACATGGCCATATGAAAAGAATTGTATAAGCAGCAAGTAAGTGCCTTACCTGCGCTCATAGTTAATATTTTGAAACACGTTTATTTGGAAGTTTTGTTGAAAGGATTTCATGGAGGTGATTGCATTTTGAATCAAACATCTTCTTTTAAATTATGTTGTCTCAATAGCTTTCCAGATATATTCGATGCAATTTCAGCAATATTAAGTGCAATTACATTCAATTTTCCGAATTTGGCCTATAAAAACTTGGCAATTTGCGTTGCCAGCGTTAGAAATATCCTTTATGATGTTGCTATTGTCTAGAAATATATTAACTAGCTAACTTTTACTACTTTAAGATCGCTCTTCCTTAATCATTTCCAGTGCTATTAGTTCATTTCACCTCTAGAATAAACAATTACTCACCGGAAGGATTACATCAATTATCACCATTGTCTATTAGAAATTGTATTTTGTGTTTGACAAGGTTGGTGTACTTGTTTGTTTGTTGTAAAATCCTCACATGCTATTAAAACAATTTCTTGTAGTATCATTAGATAATAACTTACATTTAATTTTATTTCTGTATCCCTTGGCATATCAGATTATATGGTGATATTAGTAAGCAAAAAGAATTGGCGGGAAAGGTAAGCTAACAATTTAGGAAAAAATTATAAGCCAACATAAACTTTTTGACAGACTTTGAGACTTGTTTTGCCTTACAATGGTGCTAGGCCCGCCTTCATCTAGTAGCTGATTACATTTATTACGTATCTCCATGCGTCCTCGAATTTAAATTGAAGGTATGAAATGGGTTACACATGTGAAGTTTATCGTATTGATTTTAGCTAACTAATGTTTAATCGCCTTCAATATTTGATTAGAAAAGTAATAACCTGTTTTCAATTATTTTTCTATTCAGCAACTACTACATGAAGGGATATTTCAGATTATTGAATTTTGCCACGATTCGGATTTTACTTACTTGAATTCGTGCGTCAAGGAAACTATGAAAGATTCGCTGAAAGCATTACATGCGGACTATCTTAAGTTTTATAAATTCACTGGCAAAATATAAGAATGACAATATAGTTATTAAGGCTGTACAGCCCAAAACGTCGAGATTGAATTAGTATTCTAGGATGCTACATTAGTAATAGGATTATATTAGTAAATAATAATGGATCATCTGTTACGTTGTAAACATTATATTCATTAGATTGAAAGATGGCCAAGGATTGTGCATGCACATGTGTAGATAATTTCGAACACAGCGAAATGGAACGTTAAGCCAATCGATATAGCATTAAATTGTAATATATTTGCTTGATGGATGTATAATAACATAGTTTTTAGCAGTGGGCTTATTCATTACCAAATTGAATTACTACTTGTATACCACGTTTTATAACGTCATAAATCATGATGAATAAATGGGACAATTTGAATGAACTCTTGTTATTCTAATTGCGCCTTGAATCTTATATTTTTAGTATCAATTCGGTTAAGTAAATACAACATTGATAAAACAAGGAAAGGCATATGCTAGTCTTATGTTACGCCAATATTTTTATTTGTAGTCAATTGTTTATTAGGTCTGTTCCATAGCAAAAAGGACTTTTTGCTATATCAATACATCAATTCGCTATGATCTATAAGGAAGGATAATTTTCCGATTTCATATTTTATTGAGTACCTTATAAATGGGCATTTATAAGTGTAACTTTGTTTGATATGATTGTGTTAATCTTGCATTAATGCTAAAATTTGGCGCCTTCAACATTGCTAAGACTCAAGTTAAGCTAATGCTAAAGTAGATTACGATTATCCTATCGCTACAGATCATATTTAATTGAGAAATTTCTAGATAATATATGAACCCCAGATCTACTTTTCAATACCTCATTTGATTCATTCTATCTTTGTTTCTATACTAGGCTTGATTTGTTCCATGATCGTATTTTAATTAATCAGACTATCCTCTTTTGTTTTCTGCATCGATACCATTACGACTAAATACTACGCTTTGATAATGATCTAGATTATCCTGATGACCTTATTGATGATAGCAATAAGTTGAAGGTCGGATACAGTATTGCAATATTGACATATAAATGCACAACCAATTAAATATCATCTCCATCTCAGGTAAATATCGATTTTGACTTAACAGATTGCTACTTTCGTATGCATAAACTATTTAGCTATTCCGTGAAATTTTGACGGACTAGCTTACCTTCTTTACGACGAGTGTACAACACCAGGTTTAGTCTAGATTTTGATTGGATTATACTGCTGATGGGATATACTATTAAATGATTAGAAATTTAGCTAGCGGTGTGTATTCCTCTTGGCAATGATGATCCAATGATTTCTTCATTTTACGAAGTGATTCAAGACCAGATACATTATTAATTGGTCCTTCAAAACTGCTGATTCATCTGCCTATTAAAAAAATTCTTCTCCGTGATACCGATTTGCTCAGATTAAGATCAATGGTAAAAATATGGCTGTTAGCAATTATACGACCATCTATCCAACAACGAAAGTAACGTTCCAGCAACCACTAGCTTATACTATCATTTTAAGTACACTTTACAGCATAATATTTATAATGTCTGCCGTTGGCAATTCTTTAGTTGTAGTTTGCTATATATTGGATAAAAGGCGACGTATGAGAATCCCGATGAATATCCTAATTGTAAACTTGGCAATTTGTGATTTATGTGTTACACTAATTACCATGCCAGTTAATTTTAGTCGTAATATAACCAAGAGAAATTGGGTTTTTGGACGTATAGCATGCCACATCTTTCATGGCTTACCAAATGCTTTTGTAGCTGCATCGGGCTTTACAGCTATGATTATCGCCATTGAACGCTATCGTTATATTTGTCATCCACATAAACGTAAGATTACTGCCCGTACCACTTTTTGGATTATCGGTGTAATATGGATTGCAGCTATATTAACTGCATTACCAATTATTGCCAGCGTGAACTACTACGTATTAAATGGTGTCCAAGTATGTGTGCATGTCTTCCATGCGAATCGATCCTTACGGGCTATATTGGATCAAGTCTACATCATTTCGTTAACTGTGCTGATTTTTATTCTACCGCTATGTACTACCAGTATATTATATTGGCGTGTTGGTGTCTTCTTAAAAGATCGCCAGGGCCGCCAAGCAAGTCAAAATCGTCAAACATTCAATCGAATTAATAAGAAAGTATTTAAAATGTTAGTTATTATTGTCGGTTTGATGTTCATCTGTTGGATTCCTCTTTATACATGTTTCTTGTTAATTACCTTTGCGCCAAGGATAATTTCACAAAATATTAATACATTTCGAATTGTTTATTCCTTTGCTCACGTTGTAAGTTACGTTAATGGTGCTATTAATCCTATTATTTATGCTCGATCTCATCAGTCATTTCGTGACTCTTTCGCAAGGAATTTTCTTTCAAGACGTGAACGAAATTCTTCTATGGAACTAAGTCAATCTAATTATACAAATAATAAATTAGCTGTTCACCAAGTTAAACTATTTCGCGATTTTTGCTATAACGACCATTATTCACGCCATAATAGTTATTCAGTTTAAAATGAATCGGTTTTAGCTTATTCTTTTATCTCGATTTTAATTGCTCTTCATCTTTAAATGGTGGTTACAATTGCTTCTAAGAAGCTAAAATGTATCATAACCGATGTTTTGTTGAGGTCATTTGTATCTTTTACGATAATACTTTAGCATACTATTTAGGATTCTATCTTGTACATAGCTAAAATACGTGATTCTACCGGAATTCTTTATGCATTTGTAGCAAGTGTTGATAGTATTTATAGCTGTAAAGAAATTGTTAACAAGCTTGAAAATCTGTAAAATACCAACTTGAAGCCTTAACTCAAGCTACGCTTTTCTTTTATGAACTTAAATTTAACTTAAAAGAGCCATTTTATTTGCTTGACTAAAAATTGATACGAATACTCCTATCGGATTATTCTTGAGTAGTTTTATGAGAGTGAAGGTATTTCTACAACGTTATAAATTATTTTTTATTTTATTACACAATTTAGGTGATATTTTATTTGAATGATCTCTTAATTATCCACGCTAATCAATATTGTACACATTCAGAAGATGAAGAGTGTGATGGAAATTGAGCTGCTTTTAGCAAGCAATTGGATATCATACAGTATAGCACAACAAATGGATTAATCGTCCATGTAATTAATGGTAGTGAGATTTAAATGAATGCCATGCAATCTTAGATCATAATTTACTATCACAATGAATTACACTGCTATTAAGTAGACAAGAAAAACGCTTGTCTGTCAATTTATTATCAAGAATAAAATTTTCCATTGTAGTCTGTTTTAAATATGGAGATTCCAGTTACTGGCAAGGAATAACTATTTTCGAAGCCCCAGTTGTAATTTATACATTATATCTTTCCTTGTGGTGCTATTGTGAGATTATTCTATAGCGATTTACCAGGTGTCCCGATAATATAAGATGGTTAAGATACCTAAATACTGGAAAATTTTGAAAATCATTATGATAGAGGATTCGGATATATCAGCAGTAGTGGACTTCGTTACCACGCAGAGAATTACACAAGATTTTAAGAGAAAAATGAAGACTTTATTATAGATTAGGATTGTATATAATGTGATAGTTACTGTAGAGCAGTGCATGTAAGCCATCGTGGAGTAACGTAGAAAAATAGTAATACTGCTACTGCTGCAAGTAAATCTGAGATAGAAATCGTTAGTATTGATAGCTTAAGAGAGAGAAGACATCATCTAAAGAACAAAATGGTAGAATTAGATACATCAATTACTATAACAGACTGTGTAATAGCAAGTGATTGCAGAAAATGACGAACAAAAAGTGACCATGAAAGCATCCATAATGATGATATAAATTATGATTCTTCTTGATTTGATTACAGAATTGAGTTGATCTTTTATTCGAATCATCTTTCAAGTATTCATGCTAGTCAATATGGTACACGTTGAAAAAGTGAAGAATTCACGGGGAATGTAGTTGCTTTTAGCAAGGAACTACTGCGCAATCAAGTAGACAAGAAAACGTTTTTCTGTCAGTTTACCATCAATAAAGAATAAAGCTCTACTGAAGTTGGTTCCAAATGTGGATTTCTGCTAGTAATATACTCGGAAGAAATGAATATCGTATAATTATCATTTGAATCATGAAGCTATGGCGAAGATGGATTATAGTCTTGCTAAATGTATTAATTGCAAAGCTCATTCTCCTTGCGATAATGATAAACCATGATACCATCCATGTTGAACTATAGTACAGTTAATCGTATTAAAACGATAGCATCCTTTTCGGCTAACTAGGGGCAATTCCATACACGTATATAACTTGATTCTTCAACTAAGAACTATAGACGTACATTCCTCTCTCTGCAGTGGCAATTGAAAAATGATCAATTTTAATGACGTTGAATAAGCTCCTTCCCCAGTTGATTCTGGGATTATTACATTAAAGCCAGACGAGGTCATTTACGATCAATAATTAAGTCGCACTCTTGAATCACCTATCAGGAATGATATCTGCGTTATCGGGAACATTTTTCCTGTGCTAGTGAGCAAAGCAAAGATTTAGACACCTCGTCGATTAAGTTCAACTCTAATTTTAAGAAGTATTTTCTTACTTACACGGCATAGCGCATTTTGATACACTTTTACCGTAATTTAGGTGTCCTAGTGTTGATATTATTCAGTTTGAAATCTTCCAATGGATCAGCGACTCATTTTGTCTACCGCTATGGGTTCAATTATTGCTTCGCTGCCGTAACATGATCTCTTTAAAAATAACTTATCTAGTAAATTATCTATAATGTTGTACATACTTTTCATCGATAACTGAATCGTTGTATAATATTATCTAAAAACTGATAGGTTAATATTAGTGGATGTCGATTTTCGATTGATTTTTTCAATAAAGTTTGGGTTCAAATTATGATTGGAGAGACTAGTGGTGTTGACTGTTTCTCCTAACGATAGGAAAATTGTCAGTAGTTGTAGTTGTACCGTAGGTTATCTAAAAACTGATAGGTTAATATTAGTTGATATCGATTTTCGATTAATTGATTTGACTTTTTCAATAAAGTTTGGGTTCAATTATGATTGGAGAGACTAGTGGTGTTGACTGTTTCTCCTAACGATAGGAAAATTGTCAGTAGTTGTAGTCGTACCGTAGTTAAAGGTCAGGCAGGACAAACCTGACAGTAGAGAGTATTTAAATTTCTATATTTGTTTCACTTTTCCTTGTTACAAATTTATATTTGTAACATCTACTGCTACCTAATGAAGGCAACAGTATTTACAAAGATAGACATCGAAAAAAATTCTTGAAGGTAATGAGATTGCATTATGTTTATACACGGAATATTTTTTGGAGCTCATCTAGAACTTTCCTTAGTTACTTACAATGACAGTGATTGGAACTATAAATAGATTATTCTCCATTCCCTTCTAATATATCACTAGATTGCCTTATTCGGCCAGTTTCGTATTATGTTATTAACTCCCCATTAAAGTAAATAAAATTAAGAGCAATTTCCAAGCATTGGCCCTCGTGTTGATGAGATGTGAACGACAACGGGAAAAAAATATCGTTTATGTTTATAAAAAATTGACCGATTTACCCGATCTAGTGGGTAGCTAGCAATTTCAGAATAGATATCTGTCCAAGGTATATCGCAGTTAACTCCCTATTAAAGTAAATAAAATTAATTAAAAACAATTTCCAAGCATTGGCCCTCGTGTTGATGAGATGTGAACGACAACGGGAAAAAAATATCGTTTATGTTTACAAAAAATTGACCGATTTACCCGATCTAGTGGGTAGCTAGCAATTTCAGAATAGATATCTGTCAAAGGTATATCGCAGTTAACTCCCTATTAAAGTAAATAAAATTAATTAAAAACAATTTCCAAGCATTGGCCCCGTGTTGATGAGATGTGAACGACAACGGGGAAAAAATATCGTTTATGTTTTAAAAATTGATCGATTTACCCGATCTAACGGGTAGCTAGCAGTTTCAGAATAGATATCTGTCAAAGATATATCACAGTTAACTCCCTATTAAAGTAAATAAAATTAAAAACAATTTTCAAGCATTGGCCCTCGCGTTGATGAGATGTGAACGACAATGAAAAAAATATCGTTTATGTTTTAAAAATTGACCGATTTACCCGATCTAACAGGTAGCTAACAGTTTCAGAATAGATATCTGTCATAGATATATCACAGTCTCACAAAAAAGTCACTATTATATTAAAATGCAATATGTCTAAATTAGAAGCTGATTAAATATGGGCAAGCTAATAAAATTGTCCTAATATCAATATTTCTACTCGAATCTCTACTCTACAGAGCCATAACACTGCAACAGGGAGATGAGTTATGATGCAGTGTCTCCAAAATAATGTAACAAAACTTCGGCTTCTTATTAACTTTATGTTGTTGATATAAATTAATTCTTCTACCAAGGACTCTATACGTATATTTCTGTATGCAGTGGCAATTTACATTTGCCTTGAAAGTAAAATGGAGACTCTGATCTCTTGCTAAATTGCACGCTGTTTGGTAGATCAGTTCTTCTATCAAGGACTGTTTCTTTCTCTCTTGCCAATTGCAATCGATCTTGAAACTCTATCTTCCAATCTCACGGTATTAGCCAGTTTGTAAACTATGGTGCAAGATTTATGTAACTTGATGGGCTATCATGGTGATGATGGCCAATAACTTATAGTGTTAGACATTCATGTTAGAGTAATGAAACTTTAAATAGATTAATTCGTAGTGCAAAACGTATTGATAATGTAGTTGAGGAAAAGTGGTCTATTTGACGGCTCGAGTCTGTTTGTAGGCGACTTTTACCGTCCATAGATGGAACAAAATGTATAGATGATCTAGTTGAGGAAAAGTGGTCTATTTGACAACTCCAGTCTGTTTAGGCGACTTTTACCGTCCATAGATGGAACAAAATGAATTTAAGAAATTAAGAATTAGAAAGAAATGAAATTGATTCAGAAGTTAAGAAATGTGTTGAAGAACTGGAGAGATCAGCTTGCACTAGACTAGACGACACTTTTTTTTAAGCTCAAGATACTTTCCATCAGATTCTGTTGTAGTTCATGATTGCTCTACTATTCTTAGCTCTGTCCTAAAAGACTTTTTTGATTCTATCTGCCTGAGATAGTTTATTTTGTAAGAATTAGACTAGCTTAGCTCGAATCATCGTGAGATATTTTTACATTTATTACCGTATAGACGAGTGGACATACCATTCACCTCCAAGCATAATTCGTAACATGCCAAGGCTCCATTTTTCTTGTTCAACTTTGTTCTGTTCCACACTGTCAAACAGTTCTTTTACCATGGATTATCAGTTACCT